GCCCCCCGCCACACGCACCACGCCACCGACGCTCGCCCCTATCCTTGCCCGCACTGCCCCAAGGCCTTCTCATTCCCCTCCAAGCTGGCCGCCCATCGCCTCTGTCACGACCCCCCAACCGCGCCCGGCAGCCAGGCTGCCAGCCGGCACCGATGCTCCACCTGCGGCCAGGCCTTTGGCCAGAGACGCCTCCTGCTTGTGCACCAGCGAGGCCACCACCAAGTGGAGGGCCAGGGGGATAGAGAGTGAGCCCTCCCTGTGGCTCGGGGCCCCTAGGCCGGCTGTACAGATTTGCCACTCTATTGAGCTGGCAGAGAGACTGGTGGTTTATACCAGGCCTGAAAGTAGAAGGCTGGGGAACTGAGCTCGCTTGAGGGGCAGGTTTCAGCCAGACTTAGCCCTGGGTTCAAAACTACGAACCTGGAGCTATGGTTTGGTGGTGCCAGCTCTGCCTGGTTCTCCCCTCCCACTTCTATGGCAAAGGTAAAAAGTCAGCAGGTATCCTGGGTTGGGGAGGAATGTGGGCAAACGGGCTGTCCTATTATGTGGAGTCAAGGTTTAATGACCCCACCTTGCCCACATGACCATTTAAGACATTCACTTCCCTGCTGAACTGATTCCACCTGTAGGAATTTATCCTATAAACTCAAACCTGGGGAAAGGACATCAAGGTAAGGATGTTCACTGCAGTGAGGGCTGTGGCCAGATTTTAAACAGCCCACGTGCCCATCAAGGAATGACAACGCTGCCATGGAATGGATTATGTAGCTGTAGGGAGAAAGTCATCACTCCGTGCACTGGTGTGGAATGAGCTCAGAGATATACAGGGGGTGGGGAAGAATAGAGCATCCCCCTGACAGTGCTAAAACATCTGACAGCCCAAACCTTGGAGCCAGCCCTGCCTGCCTCCTTGGAGGTGTGGGTCCATGGACACTGTCCCTCTCTGGACTCGTACCTCATCTGTAAAACAAGAATGTCTTACGGCACTGGGAAGGGGCATGCATCATCTCAGGCACAGTCAGTCCCGTTGGATCTTTCTCACTCTAACCGAAGAGTGAACGACCTAGCACAGGACTGCTTTTTGTTCCAGATAGTACTGAGCACCTACCGAGTGCTGCACCCTACATGTGAAGACAGACTTAGCCCAGTGAGGACAGTGGACACTAATCAAGAGGTCACCCAAAAAAGGCATGGTGGGGCTGGGGATTTAGCTCATTGGTGCTGCCACCTGCCTTGCAGGCAGAAGGTCCCGAGTTCAACACCCTGGTACCCCCACCCCCAAAAAAAGGCATGGTGATGCAGGCCTGTAGTCTCCACAATTGGAATTCGGTTTGGTTTTTTTTTTGTACTGAGGATTGAACTCAGGACCTTGTGCTTGGGAGGAAGGCAGTGGCACCACTGAGCTAAGTCCCCGGCTCATCCCCACAATTTGGGAGGCGGAGGCAAGAGGATCAAAAGTTCCACCCCAGCTTGGGCAACTCAGCAAGACCTTTATAGGGCTGGGGATTTAATCAATGATGGAACTCTTGTCTAGCAGGTGTGAGGCCCTGTGTTCAAAACCCACTGCCCCCCCAAGCCAGAAGTATGGGAGCCTTGTTTTGTCCCCCTTTCCCCAGAAACAAGAATTATAACAAGGCTATAGTAGTGATGTCTGGTGCTGGCTTGGGAACAAGTCAGTGGAAAGGAACAGATCAGTAGAAACAAGACCTGCACTTAAATTGATATATGACAAACTCTACCTGTAGATCGGGGAGTGACAAGCTCTCCTGTAAGGAATCTGATAGTGTATATCCTCTCCCTCCTTCACACTGAGCTTTTTATTTTTTGAGACAGGGTCTTGCTGAGTTGCCCAGGCTGGCCTTGAACTTGCAGTCTTCCTACCTGAGCCTCCCAGAGTGCTGGGTAAGCCACCATGGCCAGCCAGGTAATATATATTAGGTTTTGCAGGCCATAGTGTCTGCCACAAATAAGTCAACTCTGCTGCTTTAGAAAGCATCTAAATGCAGTATTATACATACATGAAGGGCTGTGGTTGTGCTCTGATAAGACTACAGAGTTGGTAGGCTAGGTTTTGCCTCTGGTAATTTACCAACCCCTGCTGTAGATGAGTAGGGAAATGACAAATTTATCAGTAAATGAGGCTAAAATATATACTTAAATGGGATCCTGTGGTATGCAGAATAATGCCCCCTAAGTATGTCTTGGTATAATCCCCAGAATCTGTCAGCATACACACAACAAAGGGGAGCTTGTTTATGTTTAAGAATCTGAACATTCGGGTAGGCCCAGTGGAGTCACGAGGGTCCTCACATGGGAACAGGGCAGAGAGGAGTGCTAGGGAATTTGGGCAGCCTGTACAAGCTAGAAAGTGCAAGGAAGTGGAGTCCTCCAGAGAGCTTCCGTGGTGGTGGACACTTCCTTTTAGATGAGGCTGACTTTGGACTACTGATCTCCAGAACTATAAGAAAATAAATCTGTGTTGTTTAAAGGCACAGCTTGAAGTGATTTGTTATACCACCAACAGGAAGTTAATATTGATCCTACCTAACACCATACACAAATTTAAGATCTAAATTTGAGGAGCAGAACTCTTAAGATATTTAGAAGGAAATGAGAGAATTACTTTAGTAACCACAGAAGAAAGTACCATTAAGGGACAAAAGATGTCAATCCAGTGCTGCATTACACACCATCTTCCCCTGCCTGGCAAAGCCAGCCCCATGCGATGGGGCTGGTGTGTGTTTTCATACTGCATCCCCAGCATCTTGGGCATGGTGGACAGAATGAGGGACCCCCTAAGGGTGTTCATGTCAACCCCTGGAACCCGGGAGCATGTGACAAAGGAGAATTAAGGTGGTGAATCGGTGACTAAAACAGAGATTAAGAAGAAAGTGGGGCTGGGTGTGGTAGCACATGCTACACATGAAAGCAGACTCCTAGAGCCCGCAGAAAGATGGCAGCTGTGCCCATACCTTGATTTTTAGCCCAGATGACCGTTCTGGACTTCACACCTCCAGATGTGAAGTACAGTATATCTGTTATTTGAAGGCACCAAGTTTGCGGAAACAGCCCCAGGAAAGGGTGGCGGTGAGGGGTCAGAACCCCAAGTGTGAACGAACACATAAGGTGCACATACAGCTACGGCCACCTCCATCTTGCCAATGACAAGACAGAGGTCTGGAGAGGAAGGCAGTGTGACTGGGAGCCCTGCTTGGGTGGTGAGGCAAGTCAGGAAAGGGCTCGGAATGTCTGAGGTTACCCAAAGTCAGCTCTCACCCGACCATCCCACCCCTAGACAAAGTCCAGGTCCTCGGACTGGAGCTTACAGCCCTTGGAGCAACCCTGTCCAAAAGAACTTTCCAGGGTGATGGAGCGCTCACTACATGCTGTCAAGAGTCTCCACGGAGCACCTGAATGTGCCTGTGCTACTGAGGAAGTTTTTGTTTTGCTTTCATTAAATAGCCACCAAGTCCAGAGGCTAACACACTGGCCAGCACAGCTTCAAGAACTTCCCAGCTGCTCACGGAAGCAGCAGTGCCCCCCAACTGTGCGTTCCTATCTCCTCTGCCCCACTGTGGCCCGGCCTAGAGTGCCATCTGTCTTCTGCCCCATTCCCTGACACTCAGCTTAGTTCCCACCTTCGGTGTGGGAGCCTTGCAAGGGTCTAGGGTTTAGGTGGGCTGGTTAACATGCCCTTCCTTGGATTCTGTCTCTTGGATTAGGTCATATGCAGGCAATGCCGCATATGCAGTGACCTCTGAAAACCCTGGGCCAGGGCTGTGTCCCTGGGGGAGGCAGGCGGAGACAGACTTAACATCCAGACCTCCAGCCCACATCCCACAGAAGGGCAACCCAGAAAAGGCTTGAAGGTCACAATAAACCCAGGAGCAGTTCCAAGGGTCAGTTCCCACCCCCACCCCACCCCCGCCAGGGGCACAGGGCCAGGGAGAAGAGAGCCCCTTCCCTACCACACTTGATGACAGAGCCAGGCCTTCTTCCTGGATCCCAGGACAGGCCTTAAGGAAGCTCAGAGACTTGGCCTCATGGAGTAGAAGCAAAACCACACGAGACATGAGCCAGCGGCCTCCTGGAGCGTTGGCAGACTCGAGTGAGACGGGGCAGCAGCTCCAAACCGAGTCACCTTTATTAAACTTGTGTTTGTGTGTGTGCACACCCATGTACACAAGCGCACAGTTCAGGCCTGAGGCACCACCCCGTAGAGCTGGTGGGGAAGTAGCTTCTGCTTCTCGTTGCAACTGTAGATCCATCGGGGACGGACGAACGCCAGGGAAGGGTTGTCCATCAGGGCCTGCGAGAAGGTCCACGCGGGAACACATGATTGACAGGCTGGGGTGTGTGAAGGGGAGTCAGGGTCCCCCCTCCCCTGCCCTCCTCTCCACTCCAGGGCTCACCTCCTCGAAGCTAGGGTCCCATTCCTGTGCCGTGATCACAAACTGGACACGGTCACTCATGTAGTCCTCGAGCTCCCTGGCAGAGAGAGGAAAGGGGGCAGAGGGCACGGCAGGTATCAGCGGCCCCTCTCTCAACACCCCACTCTCCAGTCATCTCAAAGGTTCTGTCCTCTCCAGCCCCACCGATGCCCCTGTAGCCGTCTGCGGGGCCCCCACAGTGGTAATCTTGGTGCCAGCCCTTTCGGAGAGGGAGATCCTCACTTCAGAGAGAAGCCTGAGAAGGCAATGCACAGGCTGGCATTCAGACTGTGCCCACCCTGCCAGGCACGCCCTTCTCCTCCGACTGCCCCCCGTCCTCTCCTGGACCATCGCCCCTCACCCCCAGACTGACCCGTTGAAGGCTGTGACATATCGAATGAGCTTCCGCCGCTCGTCCCCAGGGAACTCTCCGTACAGGAAGAAGTGTTTTCCCTGGAAGAAGTCTGCAGGAGACAGTGGAAGGCGTGTGAGTCCTCTGAGGTCCATGGCACCAGTCCAGAGGAACGGGACACCTGGAGCAGAGGCCAAGCCGGGGGCCTGTCATAGCCTCTGGGCGGCTGGCTGGTTTGTTCATTCGCTTGTTGGCCTTACTTGGAGACAATGACTTATCACAATGTGTCCCTTACAGATGGGCTGCAGCCACTGCATCAGTTTGGCCCTGGAGGCCACCCCAGAGCTGCTGCTCCTGTACCTGGGCTGCCTAGTCCTGATATCGCTTCTCACCTTGACCTCCAGGCAGCTCACTCTCTCCGTTTTCACATGACTTCCCAGGCCACCGACCGCTGCCACTTTTGGGCTATGGAGGATCAAGGTGCTTTCCTGCCATCAGCCATGAGAAGCTGGGGAACAGCTCCTCCAGTGCCCCAAAACCTTGCCTTGCTCAGACCCTGCGGCCTTTCTTCTCCCTGTTCTCAACCTGAAGAAGCTGTGACTCTCCTGTGGTCCCCTACCCAGTGAGCCCCTGCAGCAACCCCATCTCCTTCCTTTCTTACATAGACGTGTACACAGCTTTCATGCTGGGATGAGTGATATTAAAGTGAACACGTGTGCCCACCACCAAGGTCCCAAGGAATAGCAGTGTCCTTGTCACCTGGCAGGCCCTGATGACACTTGGGAGTCCTGGGGCCTCACACCAGCACTGTGCAGCAAGGGGAGTGGTCAGAGCAAGAAGTCTGAAGGCAATAAAGACGGAAGACGCAGAGAGGATGCTAAAGGGAGCAGGCCCAGCACAGCATGCAGGTGACTGAGGCAGGGAGCAGGTGGGGCAGAGGGCTCCCAGGGCAAGCTACGCAGGTTACAGCTGACAACTGGGGGGCCAGCGGGGCGAAGGGACTTCCTACCCGGGAGCTCAGGAATTGGCTGGTCGGGAGGCTCTGGTTGACCCTCGCTGTCAGTGTTCTCATCTGTGGAGCCGGCATATGGGTCCTCGCCGTTCTCCTCCTGGCCGGCAGGTGGCCTGTGCTCCTTATGCTCGGCCACCCTGGCGGGCCGAGAGCAGCGGAGGTGAGCGCAGTGACCCAGGGAGCGCAAGGCCGGGCTGCCCTGACCCAAGCCCCCACCTACCTCCTCAGCTCGTCTTCAGTGTCTCCAGACTCTTCCGCCCCATTGTCCCATCCTGCTGCAAGTAGAAGCCCAGTCAATGAGGTGTCCTGGCTTTGGCTCCTGGTAGGTCTCGTCATCCTCCCTCTCAGTTGGCACCTGAGCGTATACCCAGGCACCCCAAACCCAACCTCAGTTGACCTCCACATCTGGTTATCTGGAACCGGGGGCCCCTCTGCTTTGACTTTGTCTGTAACTCAGTTTGCTCCTCCCTCAGACCCGGGGGTCCAGGCCCTGCCTCCTCCCTCAGACCAGGGGTCCAGGCCCAGCCTCCTCCCCCAGACCCAGGGGTCCAAGACCCAACCCTTCTCCTGCACTCTAACCTGACTGCTCCTCCTCTGTGTCAGAATTTTCCTGGGGTCCTCCTGAGGCAGCTTTGGTCTCTTTTGGGCTTGGGGGCTTCTGGGGCGAGCTGGATCCAGCTGCCAGGGGAGGCTTGGCTTTGGTCTGGGGGCGCTGAGAAGGGAGGGTCTGTGTGAGGACGGTGGCAGTGCAGGTGTAAGTGGGGCTGCCGGCAGGAGAAGGAGTGGAGAGGCTGGGGAACTGAAGCAGACCCACATCACCCTCTCCCACCAGGCAGGGGCGGCAGACCTTTCTCGGAAGCCTAGGGGCTTCCTCCCCACCGCTGCCGCTGGGAGAGCCTGCCTCATCCTCGCTGCTGGAGTTGGGCCCTGCCATGAGGTACCTGGGGGAGAAAGGGAGGCTCGGACAAACAGGGTACCAAGTACCCCCAGGGGGCTGAGGAGTGTGTTCAGGAGGCAGTGGTTGTGGGTGTTTACTGAACACTCACTCAGGGCAGGGATCCCCTCCCCACTCAGCCAGGCCCCTAGCCACAGAGCTCTGAGCATACTCTGTTCCCTCCCTCTCGGAGAAGAAAAGTCTCCTCTCAGAGAAGAAAGAAAACTCTGAAGCCACCTTCCTCTTTGAAAATCATTGTCGGACTCTCATCAGGAAAATGCCTACTCATCAAGGGAAAATCCTCAAAAGCAAACACAATCAGCCCACCATATCTGGGGTTCCACTTCTATGGAGTCAACCAACCTCAGATGGAAAATGGGGGGCACCAGGACCAGCACACATCTGCACTGAGCATGCGCACACTTTTTTGGGTCATAATTCCCTAAACAACATAGTGTAACATATTCACACAGCATTTCCATATTAGTAGGTACATAAATTATCTACAGAAAAAATTGAGAGTATATGGGAGAATGTGTGTATGTTTCATGCAAAACCAGTTTTTTATAAGGGACTTGAGCATCTATAGATCTGTGGTCCTGGGACAACCTTCCTAGGGTACCGGGGGACCCTTGTAGGCTCAGAGCCCTGACACCGTGTGTACGGTTCCTTTCAACATAGACACTCCAAGAAAAGAATCCTCCTGGCCTAAGGACAGCAGCCATGTGAAGGCTTATGTGGGACTTCTTGGGCATCAGACATTGTGCTTTAATCTGTCCCAAATCACAGGGCGAGTCATGAGGGAGAAGGAAGTGGGGGTTTCGCCATCTGGGACGTAGCCAAGATCCCTCATGAATGATTTGCAGTTTCAAAGCTGGTAAACGCCATTGGTGTTTATGCTTTGTGGGATGGGGGTCACATGGAGGGCCTCGTGCATGCTGAACAGGCATTCCACCCCTCAGCTCCAACCTGGCCCCAGACAGGTTTTTAAAAACTCTTATTTGTAGCCAGGCATGGTGGCGCACGCCTGTAATCCCAGCACTCGGGAGGCTGAGGCAGGAGGATCACTGTGAGTTCGAGACCAACCTGGGCTACAAAGTAAGTTCCAGGTCAGGCTCAACTACATAGTGAGATCCTGTCTCAAAAACAACAACAAAAAATAAAAACTCTTATTTGTAGCCAGTGTGGTGACTGTAATCCTAGCACTCGGGGAGGCTGAGGCAAGAGAATCAAAAGTGCGATCCCAGCCTAGGCAACTTCGAGGGACCATGTCTCAAATAAAAACAAATTAAAAAGGGCTAGAGATACAGCTCAATGGGAAGGCCCAGGGTTCAATCCCCAGAACCAGAAAAACAACAACAACAACAATCCTCAATTTGTGAATATGGTGAGAAAAGCCATTCCTGGGACTCTTCCTTTTTGGGGGTGGGGGTTTTGAGACAGGGCCTCACTGTGTAGTTGAAACTGACCTGGAACTCACTATGTAGCCCAGGCTGGTCTCGAACTCACAGTGATCCTCCTGCCTCAGCCTCCCGAGTCCTGGGATTACAGGCGTGCACTACCACACCCGGCTTGGGACTCTTCCTTCTATCCTTGAACGGTTAAAATATACCATGCCTTCTGAATTTTTTATGTTAAAACCCAGTCACAGATCCAATACCTTTTCTTGCACCCCCTTTTCTCCCTGTCCTCTTTGGGCTTTTCTGGACACACAACAGTCCAAATGTGGTTCCTTCTGCCCTGAACATATCCCTGACCCACTCCTTTTTTCATGCCTGTGGCCCCAGCCTCCTCAGGGTGCCCACTCGCATTCTCTCAATACTCCATCCCCCCCAACAAAGCCTACATCCCAAGGGTCTCCGGGACTCCCCACTGCTCACAGAGGAGACCCTAGAGGCCAGATGAGTTTCAGAATTTGGAACTTTTCAACTTTCAGAGAGGCAAATGGCAGGCATGCAGACTGTCACATCAGACACACAGACGGGCTGGGAAGCACCCCACAACCGAGCCAGTACATTTCTGCAATAAATAACGTGACACACCGAAGGCAAAGAACAGGGCCTGTGAACAGCGTCTTGTTAGAGCAGGACAGGATGGCTATGCAGCTAAGTGAGTTTGTGCTAAACCCAGACGAGAGCTCTTTGCTCCCAAAGAGTATGGATTTCTCAGCAAAGTACGAGGGGTCTGTGAAGGTGGATGGAGCCCAAGCTGAACCCACCCAGCTTTCCAGACTCACTGTCCCCCAACACAGAGCCTGATTTCTGAATACATTCAGGCCATGGAGTGTAACTCACCCAGGCCTCAGGTCTGAGTCCATGCTTCCCCAGCCTGAAGGGCTTCCATGACTGGGTGTGGTGGTGTGTGCCAATCATCTTATCACTCTGGGAGGCTAAAGCAGGAGGATTGCAAGTACAAACTCATCCTGGGCAATTTAGTGAGACTGTCTCAAAGAATACAAAAGAACTGGGAGCCAGGTGTGGTGGCACACGCCTATATTCCCAGCACTCAGGAGGCTGAGGCAGGAGGATCGCTGCAAGTTCGAAACCAGCCTGGGCTACATTGTGAGTTCCAGGTCAGTCTCAACTACATAGTGAGACCCTGTCTCAAAAAATCAAACAAACAAACAAACAAAAAGAGCTGGGGATGGAGCTCAACATGACAATCCCGGGTTCATCCCCAGTACCAAGGCTGGGGAGGGGTCCGCCCCCTACTGTAAGCTCAGCACCACCTGCACTTCTATGGTCAGACACACCAGGCTACCCAGTCCTCCTCACCCGCCTCTTCAACTGCACACACCTCGTCGTCCGGAAGACCTACACCAGCTGTGGGCTCCCCAGGGCCCCACACTGACCCCCTCACTGAAGAAAGAGCCTCCAGTGCTGTACAGCCCAGCAGGGCACAGAGCAGAGGCTTTGGGAAGTGCTCCAAAAGACTATGAATGGCCTGGTGCTGCGTTCTGTCACCCCAAACCCCTACACATGCTGGTCCTACAGCCTGTGATGTCACCTTCTCCACTGAGTAGGCTCCAGAGTCCTGTGACTCCCTCATCTGCGGGCACCAGGGCCTCCTCTCCTCTCAGAAGCCGGCTGGCTCTGGGCTGGCAGGCCCTGGTCCCTGGCTTTGCCCAGCACAGGGCATGAGGCAGGCTTGGTGAGTGTGCTGCGTGTGCTACACAGGCGCCCGCGGCAAGGCCTCACCTCCGGGACGGCAGCCGCCGCCGCATGCGGTGACAGTCCAGCACCCACTCTTTGCGCACGATGCGGCCTCCAAGGCCCAGGACCTGGCTGTACTTGGGGGTGTTCGCAAAGGCGCAGCTGGGGGAGGCAGGATTGAGGGGTGTTGGTCAGATGTGACTGGAGGGGCAAGAGGGTGACAGAGACAGGAAGAAAGAGCGAAGAGAAGACAGGCAGTGAGACACGTGCGAAAGAAAGAGATGTGAGGCCAAGGAGGGGTGGAGGAGGCACAGAGGCAGAAAGACAGAGAGAGGGCGAGGAGCAGGCGGAGGGAGGAGAGCACAGCAGGCTGGAGAGGCAGGCACAGGCCTACATGAGGTGGGTGCTGTCCGGGGTCCAGTCTGGCCGATACTTGGCACCCAGCTCCAGGGCCTTGTCCCGGAGGTCCGAGCGGAAGGGGTTCTGGAAGCCGCTCAGCACCACCACCACACCTTCAAGGATCCTCCCCAGCTCCTGCGGGCCGGCGCGGGCTCCCCTGGGCTCGGTGCCCTCTCCTCGCGGTTTCCCTGGCACGGCCCTCTGTGCTGTAGCAGGGGCCGGGGCCGCAGCTGGGGAGCGGGTGGGAGCTGGCACTGCGGACCCAAAGGGTACAGATTCATTCGGTCAGCACCACTGGGACTGCGCGCCCAGCTCCTCCGCATCTTGGCCACAGGAGCACAGGCCCAGGCCCCGACTTAACAGGGGATCTAGTGGCTCACATTTGGGTCTCTTGAGGGGAGGGGGAGAAAGCTGGGCTGACGGTTTGCTGGGGGTCTTCCTTTCTTCTACATTCAAATCCAACTTCCTCTTCCCTTTGGTAGACTCCTGAGGCTGGGGGGTGGGATGGGTTGAGGCTTCCGACTTCACACCCACCCCCAGCCCCGCATCCAGGCCTGACGACCTCACCTTAGTGGTGCTGCCCACTGCCTTGGAGAGTGGAGACGCGGAGGCCTGGAGGGTAGCCGCTGCGTAGCTGGGCCCTGCTGGGTCACTGGCTGTGGCTACAGAAGGAGAAAGTGGAGCCCTGATGAGACAGCTGGACCCAGAGACTCCTTAGTTTCCAGCTATGGAACACAGTGTTGCTCCCCAAACCCAGCAGCAATTCGGGAGTTCAGGCCCCGCCTCCTCCCTCAGCCCCAGGGCTCCAGGTCCTCACTTCTCTCAGACCCAGGAGGCCAGGGCCCCACCTCTGTGACTCAGACCTGGTTTCAGCACTCACCTGGGGATGTCTTGTTTATCCTGCCGAAGAAGAGCGCCCCTGGTCTCAGGGAGCTGGCGCTCTCGTCCTCTTCCTTCACCCGGAACTGGCCAAGCTTAGTCATGGTCACCTTCTAAAGTCCCACAAGGTCAGGCCCCGTGAGGGCTGGTGGCAGGTGAGGGTGGAGAACTAGAGAGGAGGCTCTGGGGCGTGGGGGGTGGAGCTTACCTGGGATGGGACCTCGGCCTCCTCTTTGTCTGGAGGGCTGCGAAGCCTTATAAAACTCAGGCCATAGGGGGAGTCCTGGGAAAGCAGGGGTGGGGTCAGGGCCGAGCCTGGCCCAAGACCCTGTCACTTAGGTAGGTCCTTCATTTGTTATGGACACATATGTCTAAGGAGGTGCCCTAAGGATGACATAACGCTGGACTTTACTGAGTCCTAACTCCGGGCAGGCTCAGCTCGAAGCCTTCCAAGCACCAGCTCCTTTAGCCCTCACTGCAGCTGGCAGGTCTGCTGCCTGTGCAAGTGAATCCACTTCCATGTTCTCAAATTCCTGCCCAGGAATGGGAGGCAGTGCTGGGAATCACTTTAGAACACATAAATACTCCCCACTTTGTCCCCCTTTGCTGGCTTTATAAAGAGCCAGATGGAAGGCGCCTGGATCCCCAAGTGACCTTATGGAGAGAAGGCAGCTGACCAGCTTCAGAGACAGCTTCACGGGCAAGAAGGACACCAGTACTGTGTGGGGCCACTATACACTCATGTCTCAGAGTCACCAGAGCTTAGCACCCCTATCAGATCAGGGAACAGAAGCCTAGAAAAGGCAGTCACTTGCCCAAGTTCACACATCTAAAAAGTGGTATATGTAATCCCAGCACTTGGGAGGCTGAGGCAGGAGGATCACTGTGAGTCCCGGACCAACCTGGGCCACATAGTGAGTTCCAGGGCAGTCTCACTACATAGTGAGACCCTGTCTCAAAAGAGCAAAAAAAAAAAAAAA